GCCATTACTCTAACAATTAAATGATAATATAACACTAGTATTGATATGTTGGATAAATAGATGGTGATGGAATTCAAGTGAAAGATGGCCCAAAGGAAGCCATCTATGTTAAGAAAGAAAAACAACCTTAAACAGAGGGGGTGGACTCAGGTTTCAGCTTTTAAAGAACTACAATGCAGCAATTAAGTTGATTCCTTCCCGCTATTATCGCAGCCCCAGCCTCTGTACAGGAGAGCGGAGGACCTTGTTTATTCAGCCAGGCCAACAATTCCCTTTAACGACCCCCCTTTCCAACACTTTATGGGGGTATGGAGCATTACAGGCTATAAAAAGCAGCCAAACGACTCCCATTCCAAAGGGGTGAACACTTTCGTCTGTTTTAATTTGCATGTTTTCAAAACAAAAACAAGATTTTGATAGGCTTCTGTATAAAACCTCGAACTCAACGTTATTTCGGACATTTTGAATTGAAAAAGCTTCCTGGATGAGAAGCGAAACGTCTTCAAACTTGGAAACAAAGTCCAGTGGATTGTTTTTAATTTTCTTTTTTTGGAATGACTATGACCTGGATGACTGAGAATCTTCACCAGCACTTTGTTATACTAATAAATATTTTGCTTTTGACTCTTGGGAAATAGTCTGAAAAGCTATATTTAGTTTCCTAGAAGATGATGCATTAGGATTGTGGATATAACTTTGCACTAAATTCACACATTAACAGAATAAATCTGGTTTTGTAAAAGTAAACAGGGTTGAATAGGGGAGCTCTAAGTCGAGTGGTATGAAGGTTTTCTGCCAACCAGATGGTATTGCTTTAAGGTGGAGAAAATCCCCATAGGTCAAAGGTTGGCCATCTTATCTCAGTTACTCTTCCATACTCCAATCTTCCAGTTCCTCCAGTGTTTTCTTTTTCCTTACCTCTGGGTGACCCCATTCACCAGCCAAACAGTGGCGAGCAAACATTTAGTTCCACACCTCTCTGATCCCAGATGTTTCTTGAAGACCCCACTGATCCTGAAGGTTTCTCTTTCATTCCAGACTATTTATTTACTTTTTTATCCTTACAGTTACAACAGTCTAACAGAGGTGGAGGGGTCAGAATTCAGGTCACTGCGCCAACTGGAAATGCTCATGTTGCATGGAAACGACATTAGCAGAGTCCACCCTGGGGCCTTCTACATCCTGAGGTCACTGCAGGTACTGTTTCATTGTGTTGATGTACTTTTTTAGACCTCTGTTGCATTTAGGTTAAAATTATTATTTTTATTTTACTAACATTAATCCATCTTACTGTAATGGAAAGTAATATGAATGTTTTGGAGGGGGTCTGTGATCTAAGAGAGAATTTTTCTAATGATTAGGGTCATAGAAAGGAGGCCTTCCAACTTTGGCAAAATACCAGTGACATTCGAAAGTTGAGCATTTATAATACAGATTTTTGGTTTTTCCTATATATATATTTTTTTCTCCCTTAAGTTTTAAGTCATATATTACTTTCATACACCAGCTTTTTCCAGTCATCTCTTCTGGAAGTTGATTTAATTTGAGGGCATCAATATTCAAGCTGTGAAGTAACCATGTTTCACCTCAAACAGGGAAAGTATAAATGTTTGCAGCTGGTGGTGTCACACAATTCATCAGTTTTCAGCACACATCTAAAAACAAAAAGTGATTTACTGAAATCACTCTGAGCAATGGAAGCAAGAGTCCATCAGTGAACAAAAAAAAAATCAAAATTTACAAGAGTAAAATCTTCATAAACAGGAAAAAGGATCAGACCCAGTTTGATCGCTTTGCTTCCAGTAGAAAATTATAACTGATTATCGATAAAAGTGTAAATTATTCGCAACCTGACATTTTATAAATAAGATATAAGTATAAGAAGTTAAATTATTTTGTTTAAATTGATCATAATCAGGAATTTACTGGACCTATATGCATCTTTACTTTTTTTGGTTTGCTGATGTTCCAAATGGTTTCAGCGGATCATAGTTAGTAAAACCCAATATAGTCTTTAATTTAAGTAAAGCACAGATGTAGAACCCCCTATACTTTCTGCACATCTTTTCTTCACATTTGGATGTAATGGGTGACTTCATTTAGGGCTGAAACAATTTATCGGTTTATCAATCGATTATTATCGATTATCGATTAATTGTCAACTAATTTAGTAATGGATTAATTGTTAACTGGAGTTTAGAGACTGTAAAACATGCCTTTAACTGACAGTGACCCAGTTAGAGCAGTAATTATATCAAGATTGTAAAAAAACATGTAAAATTTTTGCATTTAAGATGAAAAAAGATGCTTTTGCCTGACAATATGTACCATCCAGAAATCCACAGTTGGAAAAGTTTGAATTTCATCTGTTTCATTTCGTAAAAAGTCTTCTAAAAGAAACCTTTAGCTATTATTATTAATCAATTAATCAAAAAAATAATCAACAGTATAATCGATTTTCAAAATAATCCTTATAGTTGCAGCCCTACCTGGATTATCACTAAATGGATATCAATTGAAGGGCAAAAACTTTGGTCATTAAAATAAATTTGAATTGCTGAGAGTAAATCTGTATATACAAAATTATAAATAAAATGTAAAGGTATGAGGGTGAATTTTAGTAAATTAAAACAGTTTTTAATTGTGTTAACATTTTATTCTAAGTATAAATGTTAGGGGTTTTTTTGGGCCACACATATGGATCCTCGAGAAACACCAGGATAATTGAACAGAGTCTCACACCATGCCAAATAACCAGCAGCAAAAACTCTCAGGTTCTGAAACTTAAACTTATTTCATATTTTAAATCATTATTTAATTGCATCTGAGCCAAACACTCCAATTACTTCCAGTATAATAAAAAAAAGAAAAACAATTCTTAGAAATGACTTACTTTTAAATATTTACGTAATGAGTAAATCATGTAATATAAAACATGGAAATAAAAATAAAGACAGAGGTCAAAAGACTGTTAGGCTTAGGGTTGCAAACAGTTCCTTGAACTACGGAATTGTTCCGTATTTAGAAATAGAAGTACCTGTCCCGCATTTAGTGGAAAAGGAACGTACATTGTCGTATTACTGTGAGAGTAAAAAAAAAAAGTCAGTAAAAAGCTAATGGAAAATAAAGAACAAAGGCACGTTAGATACAAAACTTATGGTAAACTTGTCCCCGGGCCCTGTCCTGCATTGTGACCAATGAGCTGACAGCATGTAATGATCCAGAATCCCCTTATCCCATTGGTCAAGGCCAAGTGTTGCTCATGGAGAGGATAGCGGGAGACAACAGAGCAGGATGGGAGATGAACGGAGTAATATAAATGCTGATGCTGCTTTTGGGGGCGGTGCACCTTCAACAAATATGTTTACAAGTTTGCACAAGGTTGCTGTTGAACCAAAAATGTGCACTATTTACCTATTGTTTTATATTCAATTTTACAGTTTACATGTTTAAGATACATATTTTATTCAGCAAAGTTTGTTATTTTTTATTAAAGTGAATTTCTGGATAATAATTCTTTCTCAATGTGTTGATGTCACTCACAAATATGCATCTAATTCAATGCAGATTTGGGTCAAATAGTTAAAATAATCATTTCACACACAAAGGGGGGCTAAACAAAAATCACCACGCCAGGAGGGGTAAAGGCAATCGGGTCAGCTGGTACGCACATGAAATGTCCGTTTTTTTTTTTTTTTTTTCGGGGAGTTGGCAACCCAAGTTAGGCTTCACTCCTCTCATCTAGAACCTGGCCCTTTTCTCATAGGCCCCGCCCACATCATCTGACAAAATAACACATGCTACCAAATCCAAAAAAGACTGTGTGAAACACATAGTTTAGGCTCCTACATGCACATTGGGAGCGACAGATCCATGTCTATATCCCCCATCATGGGTTCTATTCATAATCTATCAGGACAATGGGAGGCAGCATTGTGGAGCCATAAGGGCCACACAAAATGGCAAAAACTGCTGCACACTATGCTAATCTAGCATGTTAACACCAAGAAGCAATTCTGATGTGTGTGATACAATTAACATAAACCTGAGAGTTTTGCTGATGGTGATTTTAAGCATTGCAGAGCATCCACCACCCTGCCCCTTTGCAGGTCTAAAAGCAGCTGCATTGCTTCACTATCTGCTCAATGCAATCTGTGCTCGATTACTCTTGTCTTTCTGAAGGATCCCGCCATTCGGCAAGAAAAAAAATCACAATTTTATAACTGACAAAATCTATGTATTTTCAAAATCTCAAAACTAATACATTTAATTTTGAATTTTGCATAATCAGATTAGCTCTGGGAAAGCTTCTGCCCATGTAAAACACCCTGACCCCGATTTTATTCTGATAAATCTCCGCTTTGAAGAGTTTTCCTCTTAGAAAGCTGCAAAACGTTTTAGGGGCCTTGAAAATCACACACAAAAAAGAAAAATCACAATAATGAGGCCGGTTAAAGTGAATTTAACAGCATCCAACTGAACAAACAGTCCTCACAGTGCTTTCCTACCTCCTAAAGCTCTACTTTATAGAGTAATTAGGTTCGCTTTGATTGCTTGTTTCATATGGCTTTGATTGGCTGAATTAGATTTAATCAGAGCAACAAATACATAGAAAAAAAAAACCATGGAAAAAACTAAACAAGTCACTGGACTTTCTGTGAGCTTACTTTACAAAACCAGACAGAGACAGATCAACATTCGCTGGTTCATTCTCAGTAACAGAGTCTATGAGCTGAAGGTTAGCTGTTTCATTGTGTAATAGAGCAAAATGTAATCATATTCTTTTTTCTTATAAACAGATCCTGAAGCTCAGTTACAACAAGCTCACATCAGTGAACGCCGGTCTCTTCGAAGGTCTGCACAGTCTGATCCGCCTCCATCTGGATCACAACCTCGTAGAGTTTATAGAGCCGTACAGCTTCTCTGGCCTGACCTCTCTGAAACTCCTGCAACTGGAGGGAAATCTGCTGAAAGAGATCCATCCTCATACCTTCATAACTCTCTCAGTATTAGGAAGCTTTTGGACCTCTGGACTTAAGTAAGAAACCAATAAACTGTGGAAATGTTTTAGTCATTTCTCTAACTTTGGGTCAAAAAGGAATAAAGCTTCACAGAAAAAAAACTTGACCAAAGAAATGATGATTTTAATTCAGCTTTTTGTCTCAGACACCTACACCTATCTGACAACCTGCTGGAGGAGCTCCCATCTGCAGCAATAAGAACAGCTCCGAGGCTGGAGCTCCTCACTCTCCATGGGAATCCCTGGAACTGTGACTGTCAGCTTCACTGGTTGGTTGAATGGAGCGCCACTCATGAAGGTATATTCTTACTGTAGGATATTTTCAATCTTTGTACTCGGCTACAGCTCAAACATCTATTCTTACACTGTATGCTCTGATGCCATCTAACTGGCAAAAACCAAATGTCAGACTTCCTGTAGAGGGATGGCACTGATCAGCAAACCCACCGACAGGGAAGGTACAAAAGGGGTCATTTGTCCTAAGACAAAGGGGGGCCCAAAATTGACACTCTGCCATATTTTTTAGGAAATATTTTTGATAAAAATATTTAATGTTAGAGTAACTAAATATATATATCTGCATTAGGTATATGTAATATGTTTATATAAGGGACCATTAGAACTCCCCCCACCCAACATAAAAGAGTTTGACCAGGACAACGGCAGGCTACAACTTTTAACCCATTATAGGGCACTCAATGAAATTCTTTGAAAATCAAAATTTCAAGCCTATAGTGTTATTGGAATCCAGGCAAGACCGTATTACCTTTGTAACATTCAATGTCAATGTAACAAGAAACACCAACTTGCCTGAATATAATAAGAAAAATAACATAAGTGCTTCTATAAGAAATTCATGAAAACACGCTGAGAGTGAAAGAAACACATTTTTTTTTGTACAACATAACCTTAAAGGCATTAATGCTGATACTGGCACTTACATTTTTTTTAGTTTATAAACCTAAATATAATTGTTAACTAGGCTTATCAACTTTTTAATTTTTCAATTAGCTTTTAACCTTTTTTTCTTGACTTTTAAACTTTTTTTTCTAACTTAATTTACAGTAGGTAATATATCATTTAAGGGCTCATCTAATTGGTTAAATACCAGAATAAGATGTACAGCCATGTAGCAGCATCTTTGCTGAATGGTTGGATATAGATCTAGTGCTTCTAGACCTCATTGAGGGATGATGGGGACTCCATTTGTAAGGGGTATGCAAGTGATCAAAAACAGTGACTGGCCCTATAAACGGTTGAAGTTGGTTTCGCTGCAAACTAAGAATGTCAGCTTTTCAGAACTCTGGCGCACAGAAAAAAAAAGAGAAAAAGTGAAGATGACACCAAAGGCTTGAGGGATTTTATGAGTTAATATTAGAAATAAACTGAGGATGAATCAGGATAAGGTGGGGGGGCAAAAGGAAAGGGATGTCCCAGGCCGTAGCAAAGCTGTCAGCTGGCCTGCTGATCAGAGTCGCCTATCTGGAAGTAAAGTCAGAGAAGTATTACCATGTTTTCACATATGCAAAGTGGAGGTAGTTCTGCTTCAACAGCAGCATATGCCCACGATCACCTCAGGAGGGATGACTGAATATGAAACATTATTATCATCCGACAGTGCGATTACTGATCAGGAGATTGTAGTGGTAGGCTAATCGGCCCTTGTATACAACAGACACAGGATGCACATGAAGCTAAATCTCATCACCATCCAAAAATGTCTCGAATCTCCTTCAGATTGC